TGAAGGGGACAGGGGGGGGGATATTTCTTTATTATTTTTATATTTTTTATGCCGAAAGTGACGGCCATCGAACAAAGTTTTTTGTGAAGTACATGTTTTTGTATACGATCTGGTTTGTTATTGTTGAAACAAAAACTATCAAACTATATTATGAGATAGGAATGGGAATCTTTATACATCAGGGAACCAAGCTTGTCGGAAGGACTTAAAGAAAGATTTACAGGGTGTCTCTGAAAAATGCCCTTTTTGACATGAAAGCACACACCATGGTTCATTTTTTTATTTTGGACATTTTTTAAATTGATGAAACATTTCCGTTTGATTAATATAAATTAGAGGTTTATAGCACAACAATTTAAGAAGTAAAAACAGTTTAAAATTTGACATTTTGCCTTGGTTAAAAGTTGATTTTGGACAATTGCGATAAGCAAAATGAAAAATTAGCATTGCATTCGCATTTCATTTTAATAGATAAAATTAAGAGTTTAGAATTACACAAAAATGATTAAGACAATTAATAAAATCATAATTGATTTAAAGCAGAGTTTCATGCATGGGAAAATGTGCGCCCAAACTCTATTTAAAGACCAGGCATAAAGTTTTTGTCGCCCTTTCATGACGGTTTCGTTAATTTTTAAAAAGTTTGCAAACTTCGAGACAACTAATTCAAATTTTACTAAATTACTGGGTTAGATGGCATTCTTTGCAAGTCGTTTAAAGGTTTATGTTACCCTGATTTACATTTACATTACGAATCATTTCAAGGTTGAACTTGGCTTAAAAAAGATTGTTACTTGCTAAACAGAAAGTTTAAAAATAAAAACATGTTTTTCCTGACAAATGAGAGACGACAAGAACTGAGGAAGTTGTAAAACAAAAACAATTGATTGAGAAATGAAATAGGAAAACTATAAAGATATATTATCAGTTATTTCTTTCTAATTCTTCCTACTTCTATAAAATAAAACGGGGGCTTAATTTTTTTGCATAGAAAGCTTTTTTAATATTTCTATATGTGTTCCTCAAGTTTTTGTGATGTATAAGAAAATAAAAAATTTATCATGTTATATAATGGAACTTCAAAACATTTATCAGGTTATATAATGGAACTTCAAAACATTTATCAGGTTATATAATGGAATTTCAAAACATGTATCATGTTTTATAACGGAACTTCAAAACATTTATCAGGTTATATAATGGAACTTCAAAACATTTATCAGGTTATATAATGGAACTTCAAAACATTTATCAGATTGCATAATGGAAATTCAAAACATTTATCATGTTATATAATGGAACTTCAAAACATTTATTAGGTTAAATAATGGAATTTCAAAACATTTATCAGGTTATATAATGGAAATTAAAAACATTAATTATAATATATAATGGAACTTCAAAACATTTATCATGTTATATAATGGAACTTCAAAACATTTATCTGGTTATATAATGGAACTTCAAACCATTTATCAGGTTATATAATGGAACTTCAAAACATTTATCATGTTATATAATGGAACTTCAAAACATTTGCCAGGTTATATAATGAAACTTCAAACCATTTATCAGGTTATATAATGGAACTTCAAAACATTTATCATTTTTATAATGGAACTTCAAAACATTTATCAGGTTATATAATGGAACTTCAAAACATTTATCAGGTTGCATAATGGAAATTTAAAACATTTATCATGTTATATAATGGAACTTCAAAAACATTTATCATGTTATATAATGGAACTTCAAAACGTTTATCAGGTTATATAATTGAACTTCAAAACATTTATCAGGTTATATAATGGAACTTCAAAACATTTTAGTTTCTCCTCAAAAGCTTTTCGAAAAAAGGTCTCATAATTAGAAACATATGCACATGCTGGTTAGGTTGTACATAAACAAAAACAAATGCTGAATTGGTAAATTATGGCGAATGTTGGCAGATCAATAGTTTCTGTGGGATTTATATTTTTGAAAAATTTAAACTTCTCTGTTCCAAAATAAGTTTCTACCCCTTATTGGGCCATTGTAACTTTAAAAAAAATGAATGGAATCAATGTAGCTCTTTTTGGGAAAATATGTTTTTTCTTAATTTTTCTCTTATTTATAATTGATTTATTATGTCAAAACATTTATCAGGTTATATAAATGTAGCTCTTTTTGGGAAAATATGTTTTTTCTTAATTTTTCTCTTATTTATAATTGATTTATTATGCCATAGAAAATTATTCAATGTATTTTCTTTCACAATAAATAAGAATTTGGATTAGACTGTACTGTCACAGTTTAGAACGCCAAATCTTCCAAAAACGATAAAAAAAATCTAAAGAAAACAGAAGGATATAAAAAAATCTATTTTATAAAAGTAATTTTAGTAAAATCTGATGTTTAACAGAAACCTGTAGTGTTTAAACTTTGAATTATATTTAAAACCAATATTGTGAGACAAGACAGCTTACCTCGACAAAATCGAAAATATTTTCACTATTGCCTATTAATTTCCCAATGGCAAATATTTTTGTCTAGTTCTCTATCTTTCGCTTGATGACACCATAAATGAAAGATAGTCCGCGTTATTCAAGGTCAAAAATCAAAGTTAAAAATACAGTAGATGCGTCTGTGTTTATTTTAATAGAAAAATCATTTTTGATAATATCCTTTTCGAATTCCAGTCATGTTATTTGGCCTGAGAGTCTTTGATAGATTCTATTGAAAATAATAATGAATGATGGAAAAGATATTGATAAGGAATAAGGGGGAAGAAAAGATTTCAAGATTCCTAGAGGAAATTCATGAATGGTGAATAGTGAATGATAAAATAGGAATGATTAATGACGAATATTGTATCAATCATTGATGATGAATGATGAATTATGAACGCAGTTCTAAGAACAACTAAAAATAAGTAAAGAATGATGAATGAAATGTAAAAATTGACCAATGATAGATGCTAATATGCAAAGTAATGTTAAATGAATGTAGAATTATGAATGAAAAAATTTAATAATGAAGGATGAATGAAATTTTAAAAAAGGACCACTGCTAGATGTTAATGTAAAGGAAGGATGAATGATTAATGAATGAATGAATGGATCTGGAAACCCTGGATTGGAGTTTGGGGATAATCCCTGGGAGCTTACCCAGCACTTTCTAGGGATATAGATAAATACCAGCTCTAGCTAGCTAACTCTACGTAGCTTTCTTGTTAACTAGTTCTACCCATCATTGTCTAGCTATTTTATAGCAAGCTATATCTAGCTATCTTGTTAACCAGTTCTAACTTCTTCGCTAGGTTTCTTGTTAACAAGTTCTACACATGTTTCTCTAGCTATTTTTAAAACTAGCTTCTTTGCTAGCTTTCTTGTTGACTAGTTCTATCCATCTTTATCTTGCTATTTTTATTCAGTGCGAACCAGAAAACTTTAAAAAAAATTAAACTCTACATTCAGGACCAATCATTTAGGACCAATCATTTTACAAAAACATACCTTTAAACACATATAGTAAAGCTTTTTGATTTGTAACATATACACTTAAAGATTGCTTTAAAGTCATTTTTCTATTCCGCAATTTTCTAGTTCTCACTGTATAACAAAAATAAGTCGGTAAACCCATAGTAAAATTAATATAGTAACCCGACCAAAATTCAAAATGGCACGGTATTATTATTATTTGTAGTATTAGTTGGCAATAAATATTTCAATCTTTCAATTTTTTTTTTCAAAAGCTATTAATGATTGATAAATCAATAACATTTTTTCGATATATTCAGCTTTATGCACAATACTTCAGTTTCCTTTTGTTTCTCTTGTGTTGAGAAATAAAATAAATATTGTTTGACTAGTAGCATACTGTTCATACTTTTACAACAGGTGTAACAACTTTTAAACTAATCTTTGTAAAACAAATAATTTTTAGTTTTTATAAATTTATGAAATTTTCCAAAAAGGAGGGAAATTCTTAAAATTTTTTGTTGTTGAGTTATTGTTAATGATATAGTGTGCAAATATAAAAACCAAAATAAAAATTAAATTATAACTTAATTTTTTTTTCAGATAAAACAATGTATTCTGTTGGTTAGGAAAATAAATAAAAATGTTGTATCAGCAATGTTTAATCCTGCTTTTCATTGCGCAGTCCATTATTTATAGGTTAGCAATATTTTAAAGGCCAAAACATTTCTATACTTTTTTAACAAAAAAGATTAACGGCAGAAAAATTGCGCAAAAAAAATGTTTTCGATTGATTTAAAAATTAAAATACTTAAGTTTAAATTTACAGAGGATAGATCATAAATCAATTTTTCTTCTTACAAAATCCGCGAAAAGAGAACTATTTAAATAGGCGACTTTCAGAGCTGAAAACTAAAATTAACATATACTGCCGAATTGATATATAATGGTGATGTTTTCTATTTGCAAAATATTAATTAATAACTTTTTCAGCAATGGAAGCAATTTCTTTAATAGAAGATATAGAAAAGAAGAGGTTAACTACAGACAGGTATCTTTTAAAACATTATAAAAAAAGTCTAGAAATATTTTGAAACAGTCGCGTTTTGTGTTTCCCAGGCATCTTTTTTTTAACTTCAAACCATATTCATATTTATTTACTAACAACAGATATTTGTTGTCTGCTTTTGATTGACTAGTATCTGATACTAAATTTCTAATTGATTTATGAATATAAATATTTGATCTAGATTGAAAAGAACATTCTGGATGAGATTATGGGCCCAAAAATATACGATGCTAGAATCCGACCGGCAGGGGTCAACGGAACAGGTACAATAGACCGGCTGTGGTAAAAAAAACAGGTACAATAGACCGGCAGGGGTCAATGGAACAGGTACAATAGACCGGCAGGGGTCAAGAGATCAGGTACAATAGACCGGCAGGGGTCAAGAGATCAGGTACAATAGACCGGCAGGGGTCAAGAGATCAGGTACAATAGACCTGCAGTGGTCAAGAGAACTTTTAAAATAGACCGGCAGTGGTCAAGAGAACAGGTACAATAGACCGGCAGTGGTCATTAGAACTTTTAAAATAGACCGGCAGTGGTCAAGAGAACAGCTGTACTAATAGACCGGCAGGGGTCAAGAGATCAGGTACAATAAACCGACAAGGTCAAGGGAAAAGGTACAATAGACTGACAGGGGTCAAGAGATCAGGTACAATAGACCGGCAGGGGTCAAGAGATCAGGTACAATAGACCGGCAGGGTTCAAGAGATCAGGTACAATAGACCGGCAGGGGTCAAGAGATCAGGTATAATAAACCGACAAGGTACTAATAAACCGGCAGGGGTCTAGCGAGAAAGTTGTAGGAAACAAATTATTGAAAAAGGACTTGAGTTCTTGTCACAAACTCTGATTTCCAATGTTTTTATTTTTTTTCTTAAACAAAGGACTTGAGTTCTTGTCACAAACTCTGATTTCCATTGTTTCTATTCCTTTTCTTAAACAAAGGACTTGAGTTCTTGTCACAAACTCTGCTGTTCCAATTCCTATATATTTGCGACCTAATATCGTAGACCGGAGATATTTCAAACTATTAATTCTGCGAGATCAAATAATCTAGGTTTGAAATGTCAAATGTTTACATCGTCAGGTTGCAAGGATATAAAGATTCTAAAATTTGAATTTGTGGCAAAAGCTCAATTCCTTAATTGAAATTTTTCTTCAGACATCTTATTCAAACTTTGTAATATAATTTCCCTTTAATCCTCATATAGCAGGTAATAATGAAATTATTTTAGCAAGCAAGCGGATTATTTGCATTGGATAACTGTCAAATACTTTGTGTTACTAATTGCAAAGAATTAGTCCTGACAGCCAAGAAATTGTCTATTAGTTAATAAAATCACACTTTAAATGGAATAGAATAATAAATTCTATGGAAAAATTCATTTATCATGATATCACAATTATAAACATGTTAAATATATCAAAATGTTTCTGCTTCTTGTTTAATCGTCGAAACAGCTGAACCGATTGGGCCCGAATTGTTTGTTTGCATTTTTTTTGAAATTTACATTTTAAAGATTTATCTTGATAATTCAAAAGAAACCCCTTAAGAGTTACTAGGTCGGTCCCTAAGTGTCTAGTTACTAGGTCGGTCCCTAAGAGTCTAGTTACTAGGTCGGTCCCTAAGTGTCAAGTTACTAGGTCGGTCCCTAAGTGTCTAGTTACTAAGTCGGTCCCTGAGAGACTAGTTACTAGGTCGGTCCCTAAGAGTCTAGTTACTAGGTCGGTCCCTAAGTGTCTAGTTACTAGGTCGGTCCCTAAGAGTCTAGTTACTAGGTCGGTCCCTAAGTGTCTAGTTACTAGGTCGGTCCCTGAGAGTCTAGTTACTAGATCGGTCCCTCTAGTTACTAGGTCGGTCCCTGAGAGTCTAGTTACTAGATCGGTCCCAGAGAGTCTAGTTACTAGGTCGGTCCCTGAGAGTCTAGTTACTAGGTCGGTCCCTGAGAGTCTAGTTACTAGGTCGGTCCCTGAGAGTCTAGTTACTAGGTCGGTCCCTAAGAGTCTAGTTACTAGGTCGGTCCCTAAGAGTCTAGTTACTAGGTCGGTCCCTAAGAGTCTAGTTACTAGGTCGGTCCCTGAGAGTCTAGTTACAAGGTCGGTCCCTAAGAGTCTAGTTACTAGGTCGGTCCCTGAGAGTCTAGTTACTAGGTCGGTTCCTAATAGTCTAGTTACTAGGTCGGTCTCTAAGAGTCTAGTTACTAGGTCGGTCCCTAATAGTCTAGTTACATTTAATTTACTTAATTATAACTCAGTAATCTCTAAAGCACTAAACATCTGTAATAAACAATGATACAATAATTGTAAGAAGGTGACATAAAAGAACTGATAAATATGTAAAACAAATCTTGAAAAGTAGATTTATGAAATGTCCCAGATCATATTAAATTGATTAAATAATCGTTATCATTTACTTTTCTATCAAAACAGGAACTCTTACCCGTGCTCTTACCAATTACCAGTTATCAGTTAGCAGTTAGCAATTTAAACTTTAAGAACTCTAAGACTTTATCTCTAAAATCTTAAAATTGCGTCCAGAAAAGTGGTTCTGAGTTATTTATGTGGATTTTCTTCTGTTTAAGTTTCAAAGACTGTGTCTGCAAAATTAGAAGATTCTGAGAATTGGAACCAGCATATCTTCATTTCCAGATTATCCCATTCCCTCAAAACTCTTGTTCATTTGAAATGATGTCGTCGATTACCCATGCAGGGTTCCGTCACGGCCATATTACAAAATGTGACTCATTCGGTTCAGCTGTTTTGACGATTTATAGAAAGTACAGACTCTGAGAATGAATTATGTTTAGATTGCTTAGATCCTATATCTATTATATCTCCATAAATCTTGTCTATAATATTATTCTTGTATTTAGATGAAGCAACGTTTGTATATGTTAATATCTTCTTCAGAAGCTTCTCGAAGATTGATGATGTAAAAATGGTAAGCAGCATGCTGCCTGCAGCTGTATGTTTAGAACTTTAGTTAAAGAAGTTTGTTTCTCATCGGAGCCATACTGAACTTGGTTCAAGCAAATTATACCTACTAGAGAAAATGCTAAAATTAGTAAAAATTTGTCTTTTAAAGGGTTTATTCTCTTTTGAGTCAATTGGAGAGAAAAATTTGTCAGATAGGTTTGCGAACGACCGCTACCCTACCTTATGCAATATAAAATGTGTAACATCTGTTTATAAAAAGTGAAGATGTTTGAAAGCTGTAGTGTAAAAATCATTGGGAGGGAGAACCCCCCTGCCCCCCCCACACAATCGTGTTAGGGTTAAACATTAACTTTCGCTCCAAAGTATTTAAAATTTAAGTTCTGAAAATCTAAAAAGATAACTTTAAATAGATTAACAAGTACAATGTGGTGGCAACAGAGAAATGGACCAATTATACATGACGTCACAAGTGTCAAATATAACGAGAACGAAATTTTCCCATATTAGTTGACATGTTTTCCAAGAATAATTAAAAGATTATCACTATTATTAATAATTTTGCCGGACAGAGTACAGCTGTACCAAGAGAGTGTACAAATTCTATAGGTTGCCATTTATTGTAGAATCTATTTGGATAACTTGCTACAATTCACCAAAGTTACTTTAAAGGACTGTGAGCGTAATGTCAAGTGACCTTCCCTGCAAAGACTTTACAACGGTACCTTTAAACCATTATCTGTCCAGTGTTCACTGTTCACAGACAGGGCACAGAGGAAAGAGAGCTCTATGTTTAAAAACCTTTAAACCACTTGAATGCCTCTAAAATGCGATGTACGCTGTGTACAGTTTGACCTCAACACAGCTGATGCGAACATACTGTTCAGCAATTGAACGCTTTTTTGTTTTGATTAATGAGAATAAGTCCGAAAAAAATGATCATTTGAAGGATTTAATGGTATCGTCGTGAATCGGGCATTGCCATCTTTGAATAGAGGGTCCCTTGAAATTACGCTTACAGTCCCTTTAAATATATTTTCTACAACATAATCCTCTTTCTTTGCACGGATAGAGTAGAAATTCCTCACTAGATATTTAAATGAATTCTTTTTCGGTTTTAGAATATGGTTTTCAAAAGATTCTATAAGAGGAAAAAATCGTAATTGAATTACAAGTTTTCCTAAGTTTTAGTACTGGATTTTTCACACATTCATCAAACAAAAGCGATGTTTATCAGTAATTCTAGTATTGTGTATATTTGAAATACACGAAAAAAACCTCTCAGCGATGTCAAAAAAAAGATTAATGTCAACTTTTTGGTTCCATGCAAGCAAGCGGTAAATGCTCTCAACGTTTCCTGCTTTTCAGCAAAAACAGCTTGGTTTAGAAATTTTCTTCCTGTCCAAAACTTCTCAACCTTAAACATAAGGATCCAACTTGAGAAAGATATTTAAAGAGATTTGATGAACTATGAGATTCTCATTCTTTATGTGAAAGTTATTTAGTAAAGTTTCAATTATAAATCAGGAAAAATTGATAAAATTAAAATAATTGTATTTTCTACTTATCTTGCCTTCTATTAATTGTTTCTAGTTATCTCTATTTTTATCTTGTTATTGTTTATTGTTATTGTTTGGTATAAACCAGTATTAATTGCTATACAGTCTTGTATGCAACCATTATTATGCTCCATTAACTAACAGTTTTCCTGCTCAACAAACTAAAGAAAAACTTATAGTTTAGACATACACATTTTCTTAGTAAATTCAATTACATTTAACAATAACTATAAAAATTCCAAAAAATAATTAATATTTGTTTATGCAATATGCAATTAAATTATTTGAAAGGCTTACCAAGTTTTAAAATTCAAAGTTTGAGACACTAAAAAAACTAAGTAATTTGAATTAAATTCAACCATAACAGTAAAAATTCCACATAAAAATATATTTTTTGTTAAAAAGATTTTTGTCATGCAATATTTTTGACTGCATTAATTAGAAGGCTTACCAAGTTTTTATATTCCATGTTTTAGGCTCTGAAAACTGAACAAACAATATAATGCTAAAATTAGCTTCATACAAAAGAAACTTATTTATTGAAGAGGGTATTTTAAACAAATTTTCATCAGCAGTATAATATTACTTTTTATAATTTTACCGTAAATGCGTTTATTTCAAAGTTAAAGGGCCTGTAAAGGAAAAATGAAAGGGGGTATAGGATAAAACCTAAGAATCTCAGGTTTTGAACGATACCTATAAGACATCTATATAATGTTTCTGTCTCGAGAAATTGGCATAAAACTGTGTCAAAATTAATCCAAAACGGACATATGTCAGATTTTTTATAAAAGTTGTAGCATTAAACAGATCAACAGGAGTAAATCTGAGATTTTCAGGTTGCTGTGGTATATAGTCGTTTTCAGATTGGTTGCGTAATTGTTGAATATGATCTGTTTAATGCTACAACTTTTATACAAAATCTGCAGACAGGTATCGTTCAAAATCTGAGATTCTTAGGTTTTATCCTGTACCCCCTTTCATTAGTCCTTTACAGTCCCTTTAAGATAAAAAAGAATACAATCTAAAACAAAAGACAAATACTTTTCACAACAGCAGTTTGGTCATTTTGTTTTGGATTCATTCCACAAAAGTGACACCAGGAACCCGGCCCACATTGAACCAGGAATCCCCAGAGTGCACCAGAAACACCCAGAGTGCACCAGGAACCTCCAGATTGCACCAGGAACTCCCAGAGTGTACTATACACGCCAGGAACCCCCTTCAACCCAGACCGAATTATATTTTTAATAAATGTGGAACTAACATATCTACTTTTTTACTCTACAGAGGTTTGGTCCATCACCATCACCGAATTTTTAATTAAATATTTAAGTTATCATAATATTATAAAAACTCTTACATTTTTTAATGTTTGAAACAAATATTTTCATTTTCGTTTAGATTTATATTTGAGCATTGTCTAGTAATTACTCTCCTTGACTGTATTTATACTTAATCGACAGGTTTAGTACAGAAGTTTGAAAATATATAAAAGAAATGCATCTTAATTGTAAAATCAAGTATTTATTGATTAAAAAATTCTAAAGTGGAGATTTTAACCCTCAATCAAAAAAGCAAAAATATTTATAAGACACCCCTGGCATACAATTTGTAATTATACCCCAAATGAAAAGTTTTATTTAAAGAAGGAGACTACAGTTCAGGAAAATAACGATTACAACAAGTGTACTGCAAATGTCGAGCTTTGAAAACATCCTTTCATAGTTTAAATCTGTGGTTGTTATGATGATATGTTAAAGAAAGAATGTGTTTGTTGTATTATGATGCCCTTGTTAAGAATAATTGTTTTTTAAGATATAGAAAATTTAAAATTTTTTTTTATCAAAATATTTTTTTTCAAGAGAAATGATTCATGACTGTCTCTGTTCCTGAACAAAGTGGTTATTTTCTGTTCAGTAATTTGTCACATTTTTCATAATTTTCAGCTTTTCACGTCTTGGCACATTATTACTTTAATAACTTCCTACATCATTTATAAAATTCTGTATTCAACCATTAGGCATATTTTTGGGTTTCATAGATAAACAGAGAAAAAAAACCTTGCAGTCTAAGTTTAGAGCTAAGATTTTAAATGATTAAACTCGAGTAAACCCCGGTCTTTGAGACTTCTTAAACCGAAGTAAAGCTGAAGTTAAGACACGGGTTTTGAATGGCCTTGGGTTGAGTAAAATCCATCCACCTTGGGGTTTTCCCTCTTGAAGGCAGTGGTCTTCAATAGCTGATTATCGTAAACATTATTATATTTGTACATTTAAAATCTTGGAAATTTTATGAAGTGACTGCATGAGAAAGAAAATGTAGTAGCATAATTGTCATTGTGTAATTTTTTCAAGAGCTCCTTAATTTGTCTTTCTTTAAAGTTATTTTTTTCTTCTGACTAGCACAATTCGTTTTCCATAAATTATATTGTAAATAATTAATAAATTAATAAGTTATTTATTGTTTAAAGTGTTTAAAGTGTTTTTACAAAATACTTTGCAACAGAAATTTTCATCGAAAAACTTTTGATTAGTTTTTGCAAAACTAAAATTATAGTCCAGAAAAATTAATATTTAAGTTTAGTTAACACAACTTTATAAATAAACTAAAAAGACAAAGAAAGATCGATATCCTTTGAATGAGCACAATAATTATCACTAAATCATTAGAAATAAAAAAAATCGTACTGAATAATTTTTACGAATTTTTTAACTGAAATTACAGTTTTAAGCTTGTGAACTTTCTAAATATTTTTGTATTGAAACTTTGAATTGTTTGTTTAGATGCCTTGTCTATTTTCAAATATATAGAGAATGCATTGTTTGATAGAAGAGGAGGGTTTCCGAAAAAAATTAAAGAATTTCTCGAAGACTAATTTAAAAGTATTATTTTTAATTTGGCAATTTTAATGATGTTAATTTAAGTTTTCAAAAATGAAACCATATTTTCATCATTCAAAAACAGATTACTAATAAACCATTAATACGGGTCTCAAACACGAATTTGAAAAAAATATTTTTAATTTGGCAATTTTTATGATACTAATTTAAGTTTTCAAATGAATCCATATTTTCATCATTCAAAAAGTAATAAAAAAAAATCATTAAGGGTGTATATTCTAAGTTCTAAAAATAATTTTTGCAAAGTTTTGAATCAAGAATTTTTTTTTTATATTTTAAGAAACCTAGTGAATTTGTTTGGAAAGTAACTGAATTTCTTTTCCCGGAAATCTGATTTTTTATATTTTAGGAAACCTAGTGAATTTGTTTGGAAAGTAACTGAATTTCTTTTCCCAGAAATCTGATTTTTTATTTGCTTTATCCGCCTTCCCCTGTCTAAAAATATGTATGTAACCCGGTTTAAAGAGTACAGTTTAAAAATTATTTTTTACTATACAATTCCTAAAAAGCGTTTTTTTTTCTTCAGGAGTACAGCTTCCAAATAACTCTTCGTCAACAGTGGAATGATGTGAGGCTTAAATTTAAGGATAAACTTCAGAAAGGACATGAAGGTAAATATTAGGATATATTTACACTGCACAATTGCTCATTGGACAATGTACAATGCTCATTGGACTGTTAAAGTTATAGTTAGATTATAAAAGTTGTCTTCCTATTTCAGAATTATCTGGTTATCACTTTATATAAATTAAAAATATCTTTTGGTCAGTTTGTCTGTCTGTTGCTTCGGATGCTCAAAATTTTGAAATTGAGTAGGTTGACGTTTATAGGAAAAACTAGAAAGTAGAAAAAGTAGAGTTCCCAAGCTAGACTATATCATTATATAAAGTAGTAATCTTTAATTTTCTGATTGTTTGTATACCCGATTGTAAATCATGAATCCCTTGTACCTTAAATTGAAGAATTCAGTAGAACCACCGTAGTTTGGTTTAAGATGAGTGGGTTGAGTGACTTTTATAGAGAAAGTTTAGTTTTCAGGCAAAACAATTATTCCGTCTAAGCTAGTTTGTAAATAAAATGGTTGATTTTCCAAATAAAAATGTTTTCACTACTGAAAATGTTGTTGAAAATGTATCAAAAATATGGAAAAGCTTCAAAATTCTTTGTAATGAACCTAGAGCTGGGCGTCGTTTAAATCAGGAACGCGTTCTAAGTCAGGAACGCATTCCTATCTTCTTGACCAAGAACGGAACGGGGAAACGGGGGAACGCCAAGAACGGAACGGAACGGCATGATCATTCTTAGACTAAGAACGGAACGGAACGAGAACGGAACAATTGAAAAAAAGGGTACCAGAACAGAATGATCATGCTGAAGGCCCTTGTTCTAGAACGGAACGGAACGATTAAAAAAAAAGTAGGAACGTGCACAGCCCTCAATGAACCATCTATGGGACTGCGTCACAGCCTCTCTTTAAAGGCTTAAATTCTAAATAATATCTTCAATTTCAATTAAATCTCATTATTCATTATATTTACTGATGTAGACTGTGCCAGACTACTTTAAAAATAAGAGATTTAAAATTTTCGTAGTGGTTTAGTGTGGTTAACATTGGTTTACATTATTTAAACATTTTCAGCATTTTTGCTGTTGGATATCCTGTATACAAAACCAGAGTTAAACTGAAATCCTTCAATTTAAGTTTTGTTTACTGTGGATATTGATGTCCTATTAGCTAAGTACAATCACAAGTTTTAGCCTCGGATCTTGCCGTAATAGATAGTTCAACTTGATTGGATCAACACTCAAATATAGGCCTATGATAAACCGGGTACTGTAAAAAGTCTGCCCGTGCCATCAAAGTTGAAACTGAGTCGGCATAGAATAGGGTCGGGCCAGTACATGTCCCGTGTCACTAAGTCCATGGTTCAACGGGTCGGTCCGGTTCTAATTCAAACTGACCCTAGTCCACCGTGAAAAAGTTAACATGGATTAAACCATGGTTAGCTTATAGGTCTAAACTCTGGGACACAAAGTTAAAACCTTAAATACAGAATTAGTTGACGATGCCAACTCTAGAACCAGTTTATCTCTGAACTAACAAGAATATATATATATGTATGTATGCAATGCTTTGTCTTGAATTTGACTTCAGATTTCCCATGTTTGAGAACTCTGAGAAACTAGACATCTGAATAAATAAATCCATCAACTCCATCCAAGTTTACAACATTTACATAATCAAACAGATTTTTCTATTGTTCAGAGCTGTCATTTCTTTGGTTTTCCAGCGATATCTTGGCCTTCTTCTGGGCAACAAAGTTAGAGAGAAAACATTGAATAGTTAAAACTTTTATTTTTATAAATAATAAACAGAAAAATCGGTTTTGTATGTAATATATTTAATTCCTTTCAAACTTCAGTTAGAAAGAAACACATTAAAATGTATATGTCTAGGGCTACAAAAAAGTATAAATGAGTAGGTAAGGTAAAACCAAAGGCCAAGTTGAGTCTATCTAAATCAGTTAAAACTGAGACCGAATTTAAAGAATTTGAGCCGAGGCCTAAATAGGAAAAGCGGTTTAATTATTCAAACATGGTTGGTTCCACTTTAAATCGTATTCAGTGTTTCAAAATTTGAACCAGCGCTCAATTGGAACATTGGGTTGCAGAGATTTAGGGATTAGAAAATCAGAATTTGTGGCAAAAACTAATTTCATTTACATCAAATTGTTCCAACAAAATGGTTTCGTTCATTCGATATTATTTCTATTTTCTAACAGTATCCACGTTTTTATATTGAAATTCCGTTGTCCAGGATTGGATGAACAGAATAAGTAGAAACATGTCTGTTTGTTTTGAAAACTGAATTTCTTCGAAGTATTTAAAAAAAAATATCTTTTCTATGAAACTAAAATGGAAACTGTGTAAGTCTTTTTCTCCATCTTATTTTACTATTTTTTCTTCTTGCAAATATATTCTTCTGCTATAATTATCTTACATAGGTTTATTTTTTAAATTATTAGTAATTTTTCAACAAAAAATCTGATTTGTCTGAATAAAGTTATAAACGAAAGAGTTTCCGTTAAAGGGACTGTAAGCGTAATTTAAAGCGACCCTCTATACAAAGCACAATACTGAACGTTCCCCTTGACATCTTTATATAATCAATAATATGGAAGATATTCCTATATGTTTTCCTGTCGCAATTCACTTTTGTAGAGAATGCGCAATTAAAAATATGAGTTAAATTATAAACATCAATATCATATTTGATCAGAATAAGGTTTAAAGAATACCGATGTGAATTGGGCATTGTCATCTTTGCATGGAGGGTTACTTGAAATTAAGCACCTTAACAGTTAATTCAATCGCGAGGTTTACAACTCTGAAAGTTCGTGCAGAATTTGTTAGACAGTTTCTACTTTAAAGTGTCGCAACGTATTGGACTTCGGTTTTACCTCACACACTTCTTTATACTTTTTTTGTATTGCCTATACATTAAACATGCATACATATCTTGGTTTGTATTGTACAGAAGATAAATCTTAGCTCCGTCTGGTTCTTTGGTTCTTACTCAACAAATATTTAATCTTCATGTCCTAATAATCTTTAAGTATTTACTCATCGCTATAATCTCTACTAGATAAGATACGGTATCTCACTATATTATCTCTACTAGATAAGATACGGTATCTCACTATATTACCTCTACTAGATAAGATACGGTATCTCACTATATTACCTCTACTAGATAAGATACGGTATCTCACAATGACGGATGAAGGAAAAGTTTGGATGCCTGATACATTCTTCAGGTGGGATATTTACATACAAATACAATACAATTATATAGTGAGAAGTTGATGGACTAGGTAAGGGGTAATTGTACTGCATCTGTTGTATGTAAGATGCGTTCAGTTTCTAAAATTTGAATTTAATCGCAAATTGGTCTATAACTAAAAATTTGAAAATTTTACGAGTTTTCTCTTTTTACTTTTTATTAAAACACATCCACCAACAAAAAAGTATAGAACAAAAATACGAGCAGATTAAAATTGGGATCGAAAGTCACTGGTTGCTGGGATCGATAAGTACCAAACCATTAAATCTACGTGATGGGAGTGCACTAAAGAATCAGTTCAACTATCTATGCCTAGTTCAACTTCTACTCGCTGCTTATTAATATAGACCTTAGCGGGAATAATTGAGAGTATCGATGGTAGGGTTAAAGTGAAACATGGTAAAAATGAATGAGAAAGGGAAACTGAAATAATTTTAATTGACACTTCTTTATATAAACTTTATGTTTCTTAAATAAATCCTAATCATAATCTGCAAACCCCAACAATTATTTGCTTTTTCTGTCCAACGGGAGCTCAATTCGCTGTTTACATTATTGTTGTCCGTGGAGTAAGAATTACATCAAATTCTTTTTTCAAGAACATACAATATAGCTGAAGGTAGTGACGTTATATTTATAACTATTCATGACTCATTTTAGTTTTAACCAGCGTTCCTTTAGCGGTAGGATGCGTTTATGTCAAAATGTAGAAGAAATTGAAGCTGTTAAAATATTTTAATATTATATTTAGAAACGAGAAGATTGGAGCATTTCACAGTATTCTTACTCCTAACTTGTATATACGAGTCTTTCCTAATGGAGATGTACTCTATAGTATCAGGTAATTACAGATTTAACCGGGGCACCCTTATTTCAACTTACTACAGATTTAACTAGGGCACCCTTATTTCAACTAACTATAGATTTAACCAGGGCACCCTTATTTCAACTTATTATAGATTTAACCAGGGCACCCTTATTTCAACTTACTATAGATTTAACCGGGGCACCCTTATTTCAACTTACTATAGATTTAACTAGGGCACCCTTATTTCAACTTACTATAGATTTAACCAGGGCACCCTTATTTCAACTTACTATAGATTTAACCGGGGCACCCTTATTTCAACTTATTATAGATTTAACCAGGGTGCCCTTATTTCAACTTACTATAGATTTAACCAGGGCACCCTTATTTCAACTTACTATAGATTTAACCAGGGCACCCTTATTTCAACTTACTATAGATTTAAGCAGGGCACCCTTATTTCAACTTATTGAACTCTAATATATAATCCAATACCCCCCTCCCTTTGTACTTGGATCAATGATTTCCAGGGGATTTTTTGCCTCAAAGTCCCCCGGACAAATCCCTGTATACGACCCTTGAAAATTCCCTGTATACGCCCCTTGAAAAATCCCTGTATACGCCCCTGGAAAAATGTACCTGCATAAGCCCCTGCTCTGGGGTTAGAACATTTCTTATTTTTAAACAAGAATTTTGGATTATAGTTGTGCCTCTGAATGTAACTTTTTAATTTGATCAGAAACTGATTTTCTAATTTTCTTTTAACCTAGTTGTAAACTTTTCAACTTTTCATTGGCTAATACATGCAATCTAAAAAATTTAAAATATTCTTATACTGGCATGAAAACCTGTCAGGATTATGCTCTTAAAGGGAAAGGTTTAAGTTAAAAATTCGAATTTTATGAAAATTTATGTTTAGAAATATAGAAAATATAATTTCACTGAAATTTAGCGTTCCCTAAAATAATTCTTTTCTCATGGAACCAAGCTTTGATATTTTATTTTTGATTGATTTTAGCTAATTTTAACCTTTTTTCATAAAAAACTCACCCTCACCCTCTCCACAAAGGGGTTAATTCTTAAGAAAAAAGCCCTTTTAAAAAGTAAAAAAAAAAATTTTTTAAAAGAAGAGAAACTAAAAATGTGTCGAAGTGTCACTTTAAAATAAGTATAGGGAAAACTCTTGTGAAGATTGACACGTCAATTTCTACCTTTTATTCATTTATCACCCAGCTTTCATCCTCACACTTGTCTACGTTCATATTCATCCCAAACCATCCAGCTTACATCCTCACACTTGTCTAAGTTCATATTCTTCCAAAGCCATTCAAATTTCATCCCCCACTCGTCTGCGTTCATATTCATCCAAAACCATCCAGCTTTCATCCTCACATTAGCCTACGTTCATATTCATCCAAAACCATTCAGATATCATCCCCACAGTTGTCTACGTTCATATTCATCCAAAACCATTCAGCTTTCATTCTCACACTAGGCTACGTTCATATTCATCCCAGACCATCCAGCTTTCATTCTCACACTAGCCTACGTTCATATTCATCCAAAACCATTCAAATTTCAGCCCACACTCGTCTGCGTTCATATTCATCCAAAACCATCCAGCTTTCATCCTCACACTAGCCTATGTTCATATTCATCCAAATCCATCCAGATTTCATCCCCACACTTGTCTACGTTCATATTCATCCAAAACCATCCAGCTTTCATCCTCACACTTGTTTAAGTTCATATTCATCCAAAGCCATTCAAATTTCATCCCCACACTCGTCTGCGTTCATATTCATCCAAAACCATCCAGCTTTCATCCTCACATTAGCCTACGTTCATATTCATCCAAAATCATTCAGATTTCATCCTCATACTAACCTACGTTCATATTCATCCAAAACTATTCAGATTACATTCTCATACTAACCTACGTTCATATTCATCCAAAACCATCCAGATATCATCCCCACACTTGTCTACGTTCATATTCATCCAAACCCATCCAGATATCATCCCCACACTTGTCCACGTTCATATTCATCCAAAACCATTCAGCTTTCATTCTCACACTAGCCTAGTAATTTAGCATGATAGAAGGTATGTAAACAGAATGTGGTGTTGGATCAAGGTGAAATCCAGTTCATTTTTCATTCTGAGTCACTCATACATGAGTGTAAATCTAATATTATAAGAGCAGTATAGCGAGAGAGGGGATAATAGTAACGATTAATATTAGTTTGTTTATATATTCATGTGTATTTTATCAGTTCCTACTCCTAGCAATGTTTCCTATAAAAGTAAATATTTCTTAATATTTTCATGATTTTTTAAAGACTTTAAATACTTTGGCATTACAATTGTTTCTCTTGTATTAAAAAGCTATAAAACAATGAAAAGGAATAATAAGATGATACTTTTTTGCGTTAAATTCCATTTATTTTGTATGTTGTATAATTTACCTGAACAATTATGTAAAATGTTTTGATGTTAAGTGATTGATCAAAAAAGTCATAACAAAATTTTAAAACAAAAATTTTGTTCCTAAATTTAGCTTTAGCGTTTTATTTTATTTATATAGAAATGAAAGTGATAGAATATTAAAATTATAGGTTCAAAAATGTTGATGCGATTTCATAATGTTTTCGAGCTTCTAATACTAATCCTTTTTTAATTTGAGACTTTTTCATTTGAATTAGAGTTGAATTAGAAAATCTAATATTTGAAACTTTTCTTGAATTCTAAAGAAAAATTGTATTATTAAATCTAATTAACAACCTTATATTACACTAGAGGTAGTAGTACAAGTGCAACATTATCATCTAGTTTATATTAATTTTATCAATGATATTCTAAAAAATACTCTCAAAAACATTTCTAAATAATCACAAAGATCAAAAACTTGGAAAGAGAATTATCGGAATTGTTGACAACAATTGAAGTTGTTCAAATTTTAAATGCATTTTATTATAAAGAATAATAAATCAATATTATTAATATAAAGAATAATAAATTGCCGGTCGTAAAGTTTTTATTTTAAAATTATATTCTTTTTATTATTTTACTGCTCGCAGCTAGCCCTGATACAAACTTTGCATCAGTTTTCAACAAAAAAGTTAATTTTATCATCTGAAAGTTCCCCACATAGCAACATTCACCAACCCTTCATTATACAGTGGAAAAAATGTCAACCTGCATTATAAAAAAGAGTGTTTCCAAAAGTGAAATGGTGTAGTTGATGAGACATAATTGAATAGAATACTGGTTATCAATTTAAGAACATTGGTTCTATCCAATGTTTCTAGTAAGTGGGTGATACTTAGTAACTTCACTCAACCTAACCGGTTTTATTTTTAAATCACTTTTAGTCTCCAGACCCGTTAAATTAAAAGTAACATTTAAAAAAGTATTTTTGATCAATAAAGTTGATATCAAATGAGGAAACTGAGTTTTTGCCACAAAGTCTGATGTTCTATTCCTATATATCCGCAACCCGATGTGATAGACCTTAGATATTTCTATATTTTGTAAGATAAAATATTCCATGTTACAAATATTTAAAATTTACCATCAGGTTACAAAGATATATGATTTTGAAAATTTGAGTTTGTGCCAAAAACTCAATCCCTTTCCTAAACCTAGTTCATGGAACCCTGGTTTCCTTGGTTTCATTTTCATGCTTTAAATTTTAGACTTTATTGGTTTACAACTTGAACAACAGTTAGATAATTCAATATTTGGATTCACCTAATTATAAAACATCTTTTGTTCAGGTTGACCTGACGTTTGCTCGAGAGCTGTCCTTCTACATTGTAACCATCTACATACCCTGCTTCATGATTGTCGTGGTATCTTGGTTCTCCTTCTGGCTCGACTACAAGGTATACTGATCCAAGGGTTGTAAGCGAGGATTTTGCCAATTACTTCTTAAAAACTAAAAAGAAATATTTCATAACTTAAAAATGTACATGCCTGGAGCTATAAAACAGTAAATGCGAGTTATTCAGATAAAATCAAAGGCCAAGACACTTTAAAGTCGATCCAGTCATAACACTATAAGCAGAGCTTGTCATATCTGTCTAGATATGCGTCAACATTAGAGATTTAAATACATTTAATGAGAAAAAAATATGGGGAGGTTAATTAATTTAAGGGTACTATTGTGAGTCGAGCATTGCTATCTTTGCATGGGGTGTTATTCAAAATTACGGTTAAAGTCCATTCATCAATAACTGAATTTATTTGGTTTCGCCCTATATCTCACCTTTTCTAAGGCTGTACCTGCCAGGGTAGCACTTGGAGTAACAACCCTTTTGGCTATGTCGACCACCATGGGCAGTATTCAACGCTCCCTTCCTCCTGTAGCCTATACTAAGGTAATAACTAATCCTTCCTCCTGTAGTCTGCACTAAGGTAATTACTAATCCTTCCTCCTGTAGCCTATACTAAGGTAATAACTAATCCTTCCTCCTGTAGCCTATACTAAGGTAATTACTAATCCTTCCTCCTGTAGCCTATACTAAGGTAATTACTAATCCTTCCTCCTGTAGTCTGCACTAAGGTAATTACTAATCCTTCCTCCTGTAGCCTATACTAAGGTAATAACTAATCCTTCCTCCTGTAGTCTATACTAAGGTAATAACTAATCCTTCCTCCTGTAGTCT